CCTATCGATGTTGTAATTACTCTCTCTTGCCGCAAACCACGGCGGTGGCTGTCACTAAACTTCTAATAGACAGGTCATTTGTTGGAAAAATTAGGCCTTTTTTCCTGTCAAAGTTTTCTCTTCGGATTTCTTGCCAAGAAACATGCTGTAATAGATTAAGACTTGGAGCATGTTTAAATTTGCCGAAAATTTTGAAATGGCGAAATGTATCAGAATGGCGGATTTTTTAAAATGTTTAGGCTAAATTGTACCGATATAATCTTCTAAGACGAGCATTACTTGGCACCGAAGTGACCCACTATGTTAAAGGCATGTTTGTTGTCATAACTGATCATCAAAAATTCAAAATGGTGCCCTTAAAGTGGTAGAACTAAAAAAATCAACAATTTTGGCGCTTTGCTCCATACAAACAAAGTAACTGTGGTCAGAAACCATATAAAAGTTAAACAAACGTAACGACAGAGTCCCACAAGTAAGGATAGGGCTCTATGAAATAAAAGAATCCAATTTCACATAATGAAATGGCAGAAAATCATACCGTCAGAAGTCGATTATTTGAAATTTTGAAGATTGTGTTATGGTCCAACTCCATCATAAATTTCAATACTGAAAACTAAAAGTCATCCTCACTTCCATCTGAGTCAGCATCAGAGTCATAGTCACTATCATCTGTGCTTTCTGCTTCACTGTTTTCACGTCCATCAACAATTTCCGCTCCATTATCACTACTATCAGTCTCAGACTGGTTGTTGTTTGGGGAAACTGGTTGCACGTATACCTAAACGGGGACTATCCCCATTTCCTCTTTTTTCCATCCCCATGTTTCAGTTAACAAAGGATAGTTAATCATCTGCTGTGTGCATTGATGCCATATGTAAGCCTGGAGACAACTTTGCATTAAATGTAAGGTTGTGCTGTTCTCATCAGGAATCATTACCAAACTTGACTTGACTTTCTGCCTTTCGTACATTCGAATTCTTGTGCCAACATGGCATTCATCTTTGTTGCCTCCGTACATGACAATTCGAAAGAACTCTTTTTCACTAGACAAAAATCTGATGGAAGCCAGAGTGGAACTAAAGTTGTTCAGCAGGCTATAGCATCCAATTTGACCATCTTTTTGCATGATATCAATTTTCCAATTCCAAATGAAAAAGACGTCGTATCACAACCAGTGATGCTGTAGTATGCTGGCAAAATACCACAGGCTTCTGTTCCGATACTTGAACATATTGACTCGACATTTACGAATCTTTCATGTCCTATCTTCATTTCTGAAGATCTTAGGCTGCAGGTATGCAGAATCTGAAGTATGCCTTTGCATACTCTCCCAAAATCGGTTCACTTTTGATTGACCTTACTGCAGCCATGCCGTCAATTATCCACGCTGCTTTAGACAAAGGTGTTTGCACTTCTGCTGTAGATTCTTCTATCAGAAAACTTCATAATGCAACTTTTCAGCCTTGTCTGAGATCACTTTCAGGTGATGCTAAAGCTAGTGGGACAGTTGTAAGAGGATAAGAGTGTGCGTTACCAACAAGTGTTCCAAATGTTTGCCTGTCCTCCTTGAGAATGCTTATGGCTTTGGGAACCCTTTTTGCCCGCTCCATGCCAGTTTTGCTCCTAGGATTTTATTGATGCAAATTGACCATATTTTCCTTGGCTTTGCGTCTTTTGTCAATAAACTCAGCATACATTGCTTCTCCTACTGCAGATGAATTCAGAAGTCCCTCAATGACAGATGGCTCGATTTCGGCCCCAGTTTTGAAAGGTCTTGCAGGATCCTCCAGGAATGGATCAAAATACTTATCAAGCCGCAAAGCAACACCTTAGATCATTGCCTCGTGCTTCTTTATCGTAACAACAGTTGCTTCTTTGTGAACGGACTGCGTCAAAACATTAAAACGTTCTTTCAGTTTGGCTCAAACAGTAGCCATGAAATGATTGGTCTTTACAAAGGTATCAACAGCCTTCTCATCGGTGCTAAATCCACTTTGCACGGGGCTCCCTCTGACCTTTACCTCTCCGTTAATGGTTGTTTCGGTTATCATGTCACCACATGAATAGTCGAGTATGGTTTGCCAGAGACTGAACCACCAAAGCCATCAACCAGAAGGTCAGCACTGACGAAGTATAACATAGCCGAGACATCACGAATGTATTGCATCATCATTTGAGCATGTGTGCCAAAGGCATCTGTTAAATTGTTCATCATTTGTTTGAATTCTGGTGAATTAGTGGTGGATTTCAAATTGGCGGTTGATTGGACAAGCCTCAAACTCACAATTTCCCTTTTGAATCTTGGACTGAATTCGCCTTTGTTCAGGACACCCTTCATTCGATAGCGAAGCAAGGCTTCAAAAGCCTGTTTATGGCAATGCCTTCCCTTCATCGCTCGACAAGCAGACCCTTGAGCTCTTACATCGGCACATGCATCCACCATTCCTTGAGTCTGAGGCAAGAATACCTCTTTCCAAGGATCTTTGAATTGACCCTTTTAGTGTGAAAGCTGCCCAAGAAGGTGATGATTTGATCGTACTTCCCTTGGTTTAGCCATTGAATGATAAGAACTTTTGGATAAATTGCTTGATCTGCATGAAGAAAAATATGATCTATTTCTAGCTGATCAAGCATCTTCTGAATCATGTCGATATAACATTTGACGACTTTATCATGTGGGGGAATAACAGGAAGATATTCTAGTTTGCACCTTCTTGTAGTACAATCTGTTACAGCTTTCATGAAGTTTGTCCATGATCCAACTGGCTGGAGAGCATCAGTGTCTAATCCAGGCTGTATTTCTAAAAGCATCTCTTTATTTACAGCTCCACAGAATACCCAAGCTACATCACGATGAAATGTTTCTTCAATCAGTAGTGAATCTTCGATTTTGTCTTCAAAATCAGGCATTGCTGGAAGGCCTGCCCGTTTCTTTGGAATAACATATGAGCCATAATCTTTCTTTCCGTTGTGCAATAGATCTACGAATGGTTCATATAAATGTGTCCCTTTATCACCAGGAAATGATGGCTGAAAAATCGTTCCCCTGGTGTGGTGCGTCGTCTGTGACCCAGTCAAAGTTTGTTGTCGGCCATCAGAATTATAAAAAGTATACCATTTTGATCTCTTTAAGATCAGTCATGACAAAAAACATGCCTTTGACGTAATAGGGCACTTAGATGCCAAATAATGCTCGTCTTAGAAGATTATATCGGTACATTATAGCCAAAACAGTGTAGAAAATCCGCCATTTTGAAATTTTCGGCAAATTTCAACATGCCTCAAGTCTTAATCCATTCCAACATTTTTTTTGGCAAGGAATCCGAAGAGAAAACCTTGACAGGAAAAATGGCCTAATTTTTCCAGCAAATGACCTGTCTGTAAACAATCTAAACATTTTACTGCCCTCACGTTCAACAAATGTTCTCATCTCATCGCTGTTTTGATAGCAAGATTGCATGACAAGAAAAACCTAAATAATTCATTAAGTTCATTTCATGACTTGCTCTTTAAGAACATATTGTTTCATTCATTTTTCCCTGTGAAATAGCTTATTTCATACTTGTGAGGTCGGGCCGCCCCTAGGCCAGCCCCAGTCGGTGGTAGGATCTCTGCTTATCACTGTTGAGCTGTATAGTTATGAGGGCGTTCATTCAATCTGGCGAAGACCAACGCCGCAGTTATATCTTACAATTGCGGATGACATCAATGTTTACTTTGAATCGGGAATTTAGAGCAACTTCAGAGGGTTAAAAACATGTGGCTGGGGGCTGGAAAGTGGTTTGGTGCGGGTGAACTTGCATTAAATGTTGACAAAATAAACTATATTATTTTTCGTTCATCACAAAAGCCCCTCTTTGAGAATATTACAATAAGATTTGGTAAGCAGCAAGTGAAAAAGGCTAAGGATGACAAATTCCTTGGTCTCTTTTGAATGAAATCTTTCTTGGAAGCACTACTCAAGTGAACTTTCCAAAAGCTAGCAAATACATGTGTTATATTCATTAAGGTTAGGTATCTTCTTCCTACAAATGTAAAAGATTCTTTATGTTACTCTTGAATTGCTGCATTTCTTCAACATGGAATCGTTGTTCATGATGCTTGCATCAAACCAATATTCATTTCAAAGAAAAATTTTGCCTATTGAAAATTCCTCTGCACCGTCTGCTTCTTTTTTCACACTCTCCAACCCTTCAAGCTAATGAAACTGCTGACATTCGTTAATGGATCTTTTCACAACTTTGTCCAATCTTTTTTTCTTGAGTTCTTTGATATGCTTTCTCAAGTTCATCAAGATGACACAAGACAAGCACATAAAAGTAACATTCTTCTGTCATGCATGTAATATGGTTTGAAATTTATAAGATCGATATTCAGATGCAAAATCTTGGAACAGTATTTCGCTTGCTATCAATAAGCCTCAAAGGTTATAAGGTCCCGGCATCGAATACCAGTCCTAGAGCTTTCCACAACCAGCCAAAATTAACAGTCATACTTAAAATATAGAAGTGTTTAATCAATAGAATCTTTACATTCTTTTTTTTAAGAACCAAGAAATTTAAGTTCAGAATGACTGTTCTTAATTTTTGCGAAAATCTGAGGCTGGATTTTTCTTAATTTGTTTTTAATCTAATAGGGTGTAAGCAGTGCGAGTGCTAGCTTTTTCGCTCTAGAGTGGTGTTCAGGCCTCATTAGCCAACAAAGTGAGTGAGACAAATTTAGTTTACTGACAAATTTGAATATTCATCGATAAAAGCACCCACGCATCGCTAAAAATTCTCGATTTTTAGAAAAAACGTTGCTCAAAATTTCATTTTGCAGAAGCTCAGTCTGAGCTTGATCTTAATTTGCTCTTGACTTTTGACCAATTTTGAGGCTCGTGTTCTTACAAAATTGTTCTTATAAAAAAAGGGCATATTTATTAATTAAACTGAAAAATTTTGTTTTAACAAGGAGGGTGCTTTCTCCTCTATTATTTTACCTATTGAGCTCCTCTTTCATAAAATTCACTGCATACAAATTCTTTTATAAATCTTTAAGTTTGTTAGTCTGTGTTTTCTTATTGCTTTTTTCTTAATTTAGATTATCCACATTTCCTTTATGAAGTTTTTTTCAATGACATTGTATGTAGTTGACTGAATTGAACTGGAACAATAATTTTTTCCTACAATGGCACGATTTTCTCTTACCTCTTAACCTCTGTTGGACTTTTGCTCTGGGGGGATAGATGTGGACAGAATAATAGAGCCCCTTTGTTAAACTTTTGCGACTATATCCCTTATAAACCACGGCTGTTTTTTCGCTGTAATGTTTTTGCAAAGTATGTTGTTTGGCCCTTTGCAACGTAGTACTGTATCGCGATTCGCATAAAATCAAATCAATTAACAGAAATACATCCTACACCCTATCAGGGTTCACTAAAGACAGATGAGCGAGGCTTATCGTCCTGGGTTTTTCCTGTAGAAATTTTTCCAAGAACTGGGAGCGAGATGAAAATTCATTAGTGTTCAAAGGTTGCTGAACAATAAAGGGCGTGATTAATAGCTTTGATCGCCTCCGTAAGCTTTCAAAGGGCTTTCAAAAACGATCTTGACCAAATATTACCATTGGAATTACAATAACGATATTACAATCGAGTTGATACAACAAAGGAGACCCGTTGACGTGTATCTGAGAAAACAATGATACAGTCTCACCAAGGATTTCCCTTTCAAACCGAGGACTCTCAAGATTTCAAGTGAGCACAATGGCTAACAACGGGAAACAAAAACCGGACAAGTACCAGTAGTTCTGCATAGTGTGACTGAGTATCAAACAGATGTCTGCAGTGCGTTTTCTCCGTGAAATATCAACTTCTATAGAGAAGAAATTCCACTGAAAGGCCTATTTCAATAAGGAAACACGCAGACGAGCAGTTTGTGAAAAAAGAGATTATCTCCTGGCCATTGCAGTGAATAGTGATAATGAGTGAAATTAATGCATCCTTTTAACGGCAATCAAGCATAGAACGTTTTTGCTAGACAGGAACAACTGGACACGATCGAACGAAGGGTGAATCGATGTGTGCATATCAGGCTAACCTGGACTGTTTTATTCAAGAGGTATGTCATTTATCAAACTTTTTTCTATGTTCTGTTCAATGAATCGGCTTGGAGATTTCATTTGTTCCATGTGCAGTGTTGTTTACAAAATCGTCACGGTAAGTCGCTTTGACATTGATGTCATCTTGTTTGTCTGAATCGATTCCGCTTTCGTCTGAAACTGGGGTCTTGATCTCCCCGGTATTTTACTCTCGAAACAAAATAATGTATGTATTTGCAGTTCAGAAGAGACTTGTTTGCCAAGCTCAATTCTTTCACATGCTGATCTCAGGCTAGGCCGTTACGTATCTAGACTCCGTTCCAATAATTTAGTTGACCGGGCCCACCAACTGTGTTTTGTTTTCATCAGCGTCACAAAACCCTTCTTCATTTCTTGTTAATTTTTATGCTGCTCCACACGGGAGAAAAGTGTGTTTTAGAGTCCATCTGTGCTGTTGAAATAGTATGTCCCATTAAAACGGCTCAATCTTTGGTTGCTAATTTTCCGCCACACCACACTTTGTCATCGTGCGGCGGAAAATTAGCAACCAAAGATTTATCACTTTTACAAATGTTCTTTCTATCTTTGATATCCTCTATCTAGAGTTCTGTATGTTTTTTACAAAAAGGCCCCATTTTTATCCAGTAGCAGACATTTTTTAATTTTTTCATTATGGGCGGAGAGCCATTCTTTCGAGAACAATTCTATTGTTTTTCATATTGTTTCCATGCGACAGCTTTTTGTTTCTCCGTCCCGGGGACGGTGTTGATAAGCCTACTTCGGCGAACGAGCGAATGCAGCTAATTTGTGAGGCAATCCTTCTTTTTAAGTCAAAGAGCATATGTAAATAAATCTGACCTCCAAGCACTATTCTCTTTCCACTTAAAAAAACCCTTTTTTCAATAGCTGTTCAATTCCCTCTTTTTAACTTTTTCTAATTCTAAGCCACTCCATCTTCCACCACCACACGCACTCCTTATCACCACATCCTCTCCTTCCACCACACTCTCTCCACCACCACAACATTACCTTAAGTCGTTGTCTGTCATCACCTCACCTTCCACCGATACCACCCCATCTTCCACCAACACTACCGCACCTTCCCCCGCATTGCACCTTTCACTGCAACTACCCAAAAGGTCACCAAAAGGGGGGGTGCTATACCCCCCAACACTTTGTCTGTCAGCTAATAAAGGATTTTTGCCGGGTAGAAGAAAAGAATGTTTTCTCACCCTGTAACATATTACATGTAACGTATTAACATTTCTGTAGTTATTGAACTTCCGAAGTATAGCACTAAAGTGTGAATTTTGAAATAGAAACGCATAAAAGCAGCATGTAAGATTATTTATCTTTATGGTAACACCATCAAAGAGTGAGACACGCCCTTTTTTGTCAGCAATAATCATTTCTGTACTCCTCCGAAAAATTTTGTTTGGTTTTGCCTCTACAACTACCCCCACCTTCAGAGTCCAGAAAAGTTGTTAACCTTCCTCCGGACAAAAACGTCTCAGAAAGCACACCCTCCTCACAAAACAATGGAAAGTGGGCGTGGCTTTGGTTTGTCATAGGAGCTTCTTTTGTTTTTCGTGGACCTTCCTCCGGTCAGTGGCCGTGCGATCATAATGCTTTCCGGACTCTGCCCACCTTCCACCGCCACTACCCCCAACTTTCACCGGCATTACTCCACCTTCCATCACAGCAACCATTCCATCCTCATTCATGTGCTTTTTCTACACCTAACATATTTTCTATTCCTGCCAATTTTAGATAATTCGAAAATTTCATTTTTTTTAATTCGGCCATGACCTGCATGTTTAAATGATTAACCAGTTTATTAGAGGTTGTCTCTATCTAATTATCAGTTCCTTCGTGTGGTTGATCAGTGTTTTACGATGCTATTTCTAGCGTTTTAAGCTTCGGCCAAACGACTCGATTTCACTCGATTTTCTACTCAACAAGAATAGTGAGGCCGTGGAGCGTTCAATTCAAGGTCAACCGGGGAAAAAATGATAGAAAGGCAAATTTTCCACCATCCAGTGCAGAATTTTTTTCTCTATAATATACTCAAAATCGCCCAAAATCGACTATAGGGAAAAAACATTTTTGAGGTTTATATGGCAACTTTCGATAATCAAGTACTTTTAGCACAACTGAGGGCATCTGTTCAGGAAAAAACAAAAAATCTGTATTTCTTTAAAAATTGTAGATTTACGTAAGGAAAAATTCTCTTATTCTAGGCTTGAAAAATAAATAAGAGGGCTTATAAAGGAAGAAGTCAGTTTTTCTGATTTTCTGAAAAACATGGGCGGGAATTTTATAATCAACAGGCAGTTTTTGAATACCCAAAATACAAAATTCGCGAGGGACATTTATCAATATTTTAGGGTACATAAAGTTATTCAATGCCTTAGCAATTTACTCGGGGGATGGGCTCTTTTGGGTATTGGGGACATATCAGCCAAAAATTTAATGTCCTTTTGTAATTTCGATATCAACGCAAGTCATTATTGTCTGATAATTGGTACAAATAAACGGCTCACTTTCTGGAAAATGGTACTCTCTGGATAAAATATGGCAGAATCGCTAACCAATTTGGTGGATTAAAACTTTGTGATATGCATCCTAGTTTTTAAAATGGAAAGGCAGTACACGTCATGAAAAAGGTGCCTCAAACTTCATAAAACACAGTGAAAGACGCAACAGAGACTTTCTTAACCCAAGATAGATACCTCGAAAAAGTTAAGATATTAGCGCAACACCTTGTTCTAAGAGACTGCAATCAGGTTTTGCTGAGTTCAGGTGGAAAAAATATTGCTTTCTTTGTGGTAATGCTGCTACAAATCACTATATAACAATAATGCATCATTCCAGGTAAGGCTCTCACCTGTAAAGGCCCAAAATTCCTGAAATTAGATGTTAAAGTATTTGAAATTAATACTGCTTTTTTGTATGTTTCAAGCGTCTTTTGATGGTCTTGACGGGTAGCAAAGTGGGTCCGTCAAAATGACGAGGAATGATGGCTAGCTGCTAGCTGAATGACTTGGCTTTGCTGGGTATTGAATGTGGTGTTGCTAAAAAGATTCACTTTAGTAATGTTATTGGCGTTTCTGTCTTAACAAAGCTTGTGAACTGGTACTGTTAAGGTTTGAAAATTTATGAGCAACAGTTTGAATAAAATATTTTCCAAAGGGGGGGGACTCATAAGTCGACTCACTTTTATTTGCGGCGTAATACTGCATTCATGCCTATTTTGTATAAACAGAACCCCAGGCCAAAGATTCGCAAGAAAGTTTTAGAAAATATGAACATTTTAACCACGCTACAAAGCAACATATATAGCCCATTTTAGCCTTGAATGGGCAATATTCCTTATTTCAGAGCAAGGGCGTTGGGCCTTCGCTGCAAATTGGGGAGTCGTGATGACTTTAGTTCCAGGGCCCGTACTGCCTAGCAGCGGTGCTAGAAAACTGTTTCATAACGATAATAATACAAGATAAGCTTAGGTTTGGAAGGACGTGGCATAATTCGTGGATTGCAAATGTATATCATGACAACTGCTTTTCATGTTTCATGTTGGGCAAAGAATTCCAATACCAGAGGTCCTTTAAAGACAGAATTGATATATTTGTAAAAAAATTAAATTTTGGAAAAATTAACAGTCTCATTAATAATCAAGAATTTTCAAAAATTTTGGCGGGTTAGCAAGAAGACTTGATTATTTAGCTACTTTTTAATCTATACTCAGGGCCAACGCCACGAACTTTAAGTGGAGGGGCCAAGTTCTATACATTGAACTTGAGTTTAGGCCTTCAAAGCAGGACCACTATGGAGATATTTTTGCTTACTTAAAAAAATAGGGGGCCTTGGCGCCTTCAGCCCCCCCCCCCCCAGGTGGAGAGGCCCTGATACTCAATTTTATTTCTCAATTGTCAACTCGAATACCTGTTTTTACGCCTTGAATTGTTGCAAGCTATCCAAATTTTGCAGAATCCCTCGGCAGATAATATTGTGCATCTGGTCAAAAAGCTCATGTTTTTAAAATTTCGAGAAAAATTTTTCCCCAAACTGGATTCTAGGCAATTCACCACATCAACGACTGCACTAGAAATCGAGTGGAAATTCGTGTCGTTTGGCCACCTTGTCGAGCAAGTCGAATGGCGTCGAGTGATTCGTCGAGTGAAAAAGGTTTTGTCAAATGAAAATCGAGTCGTTTGGCCACGTTGACGAGTGAGTCTAGTAAGCGCATGCGCAATAACCTGTTTTCGCGCGGGAATTATTTTTGCAGGAGACAAGACAGCCATTTTGATTGTGTAAAAGAGTGGATCGCTGGTGAAGCTGGGGTTATCGTCCAGCTCATCTTTGTCTTCCAAAACTTCCATAAAGATAAGCATGACAGCCGCTTTCGGTTTCTTTTCCGCCATTTTTAATCGCAGAGTTCTGGATTTGGCGCGCTTTGGCTTTGGCGATTGAGTAAATAATCGAGTGAAAAATCGAGTGGAAAATCGAATCGTTTGGCCATCCATGCTTGACTTCGCTCGATTTTGAGATAAAATGTAGAGAAAAAAATCGATTGAAAAATCGAATCGTTTGGCCAAGGCTTTAGAGTCGTCAGTAAGCCTCTCGCAATAGATTACCGAAGAACGACGCCATGTCCAGTGGTCTTCACTTTTGTTTTGTTCATGTTGACTATAGAAACGACTAACCAAACCACCCCTCGCTTAATCACCCTTCACTTAATTAAAACAAGCATAATCTCTTTAAGAGTATTATGCTAATAGACTTTTTATGTTTTGTATATTGTCTGGTATTTAACTAAATGAAGATGTTTGTAATCGGATGCTGATGCTTGTACCTAGCACTTCCGCTTAAATTATATGTACAAATACCAAACCAATGCTCCAACATCGATTTACAATAATCGATTGTGGTGATTATTGGCTTTGCCATAGCTTTAGATATGATATATCTCATTTAGGAATGGCCATGCGCTATGACAACACTATCGTTGAAATATCTCCGAGTCCATATAGTGTGACGTCATCAAAATAAATTTTTAGATGTTCTTTATATGCAAAATAATTTCAATATGTGTAAAATTAGGTGAGTTATGGCCAATAAAAGATTTTCGGGTTACTGTCTGGTCAAAGTTTGCTAGCGGGTTACTGTCTGGCCTGGTTCATAAAGTTACAGTGATTTGATGAAGGGTATCCAATTGTTTCCCTCATTCCTAAATTCCAGGTACTTTTTTGCCGAATTCCCGATTCCAGCCCATCAATTACCGAATCCCGGTGTTATTGATTCCCGAATCCCGTTCACAAAAGTTTGCCAATTCCCCGAAAAACGTATTGGGTGGAACCTATGCTTTTGTGGCCAAATCTCTGCCAATCTTTAACATACTCATTTGATTTCGCACCATTAAATGCTTATCATAATGCTCTTTTAGGTTTATTAGTTCAAAATCCAAAAAGTCTAAAATAAGTTCTTATGACGTCATTACTTTGGAACTTTATAGAACTCGCTCCCTTTTTGGAGAATGGTGCCTGCATGTCTGCAGGTGGAATGTCATAATGTTCCGTGTAAGTCTATTAGACAGGGAATTATCCACAACAATCGAGCAAAGTGCCTAATTTTAGTTTTTGTATTTGATTTGGGTATTTGAAGCCTTTGTGATGGATACCCGTGTTTTTTCTGCTAGAAAATGTTTACGAACACTAAAGATTTGTGCTACCTGAGTTCGAAAATTTTATGACATGCTGAACAGGTCAAAATGAATTTTTTTAATCCGTTTGAGATAAGTACATACCTGGCTTTAACTTCATTTAATATTGTTTTTTGATAAGTTACATGGGACCTTGATCTCGTTTGGATAAAATCTTATTAACTTTAAAGCTGAAGCATCAGCGAAATTAATGGACATTTATAGAAAAGAAGCAAATAATTTCGAAGTTGGAACGGTACCCAACAACTTTAACAACACAGATATGTTTCATTACAGTTGGTGTTTCTCACTCGCAAAATCACAGGGCCTTTCCTTTCTCACATTTTTTGACACCCAACATCGCCTTCCCTGACAAGATTTCTGAAATTACCCACTACAGTATCGCATCGCATCGCTTTCCATGACAATGTATCTTTGATTGCCAGACGTCTGTTGCCAAGCAATTATTCTTGTTTGACTGATTACAGAGAAGCGTTGAACACGCTATCACAAGCTCGATTTTTGTTAGCAGAAACAATTTTGAATCAATGAGTCTCAACCACGCCCAACTGGATTCAGATCTTGGACAGATGTTCGCCTTTTTCTTCTTCATTATGTATTCAAAAATCTGTACTACAGCAAGTAAAGTTCTCTCACTATGACATGGCCTATGGTTCTGTCGATCTTTTTAATCTCTGTTTTTGCTCATGTTGCTGGAGGCAAACACGGATTTCTTTGTTCAGAAATACGCCGAGGTAAACAGAAAAGCTGTTAATTTATCAATTTATAGAAAATTATGCTTTTATTTTGTAGCTACTCTGTTGTTAAACAGTGAGTTTCACCCACTTTTGATCAGATCTTATCTGTAGGCTTACAAAGTTTATGGTATGGCTATACAACTAAGTATCGGCGATTGATGTCCACCATACCTCTATTTTGTCTGGATAGTATGCCGATTTTGATGCTTTCTTCTTGTGTTTTTATGTACTACTTTCATCTTAATTGAAATCTTATTTATACCAATCATTTGCGAAAGCCGATCTTACTCAAGTGAGGGATATTTTAGCGATTTTTATGTACGGGTGTTTTTCACGTTTACTCTTCCACATTCACAGTGATTTTCTGCAATTCATCACTTTTCCTGGTTTCTACGTTTAAGTCTTTTGCTATGAAACCTTGTTATTAAAAATTCATTTCATTCAAGAGAGTAAGCCTGTGCAATTGCCACTATCATCGTCGTTTCTACGTTTTCCTGCTTTTTCCTTCTGGAGAATGATACCTAATTATAAATTTTTCGAAAAATTTTTATTACCATGTTAATATTTTACATTGCAGTTATTTTGTTTTTGTTGTTAGCATCGTTTGATTTCTGAATGAAATAAAAATATCTTTCGAGAAGGCAACAATCGCAATTTAAAGGGAGTGGCATCAAGATCTCTAGAGAACCTCACAATTATTGAAGTAAAATTCTCTCAATTATTAAAGAAAATATTAATTTCATTGTCTCATCTACAGTTTATCAAGCTGCTCGTGTAAAAGGAATGTCTTAATTCTTTTTATTCAAGATGCTCTGTAACTAAGGGAAGTTATATGAGCCTTGAAATACCCATCACTGTTTAGATTTGGGTGTCCAGATAAGATTTAATTTCACCTGGTTTTGGTATATTTTTTAAGGGAAGCTTTCAGCTCTTCAATCTATTTAGACATTTCCAAAGTTTTCAAGTCGCCTTTACCTTTCCATGCGTCTAAAGTCAGCAATGGCTTGTCAAAGAACAAAGCAAAGTTTTTCTAGATAAAACCACTGAAGCAAGCACCCTTCCACATGATGATGTTACTTAAGACGTCACTTATTTCTAGGGCTCAAGCCCAGTGGCGGAAATTCATTTTTCAAGTGTGGGGGGGGCAGTGCTCACAAAGAAAGGAAATTTGCCGACAAATGACATACTTCACCGAAAAAACCGACAATTTAGCAAAACGTTGCCCCCACGCCCCCGCAATTTCCACCACTGCTCAAGCATAACCGACACCCATTTCCAGCATGCCCAAAAATTGGTTTAAGCCATGGTTTGCTTCGCAAGAATATATTTGCATATTGCTGTCAATTATTCAAAAAGGTCCTCTGGACACCCAAACTTTTTGTTTTAAGCTGCCCGTTTCTTTTCCCAACATTTCACTCTCCTACCCAAGTGAAAGAGCTGACATGCACATTGTTCAAGAAGGGTGTGTCTAGAAAGGAACATTTTCTAAAATTACATTGCTCTAAGAAGCAGAGCATCATGTTTTTGCTCGATTCTAGGGATTATTCTGCGTATTCTAAAACTTTTCGATATACCGGTACATCAACTTTCTGTCAAAAAATAACCTGATGATCGTACAATACTCCAATGTTTTCGTTATGCAAGAGTTTACAGTGTCCTTTGTTTAGTTTCTTGTGCTTAAGAGATGCTCTACGGCCGCTCATTGCTTGTATTCTTCGGCAGCTCCTTCTTTATTGCTCTAATGGATTTGCTGTACTTCTAGCTAAAAATGCGCCCTGTTATTAAAATTTCGTCTTCTCTCCAAGTCACCTTATAGGTTCCCCATTTTTCGCTAAGCTTTTTATTTTACATTTGTCATATTGTCATAAATCATTTTTCTCTCTAGAGAGCATACACACCCTTCGATTATCGACGCCTGTTTTGGTCCTAGGATGTTAACTGACTTTGTGCCTTTCCTACACTCTTCTCGTGTGTCATATGTTCTCGTTTTCGGTGTCATATCGCTTAGCAGGATTTCTCTTATAAAGGAACGATTTGTTCATTCAGTTAATCTGGCTCACTAGACATGAACAGCATCAATAAAAACCTGGCTTCATTTTCTTTCACGGAATTTAAAGTTGGTGTTGTTCATTGAACGGCTGTGGTGTGATAATGCAGGCTGTTTTGGCTAGCCTTGAATATGCTGTGCTTTTTCTAATGAATCAGGAGCATTAAATGCAAGTCGAAGTCAAAACAGTCAATTAAAAGATCAGAACACTAAGCCATGCTGGAGGTTTTCTATGTCATCGCCCTCTAATCTACTGTTACAATTACAGACACAAATTTTTATTTAATAATCATAAGAAAAGAGTCTCAAATTCTTATTGAGAAATAGAAGCGTCACGCTAAACCGCAAACTTCTCAACGAAGCACGCTTTACGTAGTTCCTTGAAGCAAATAGCCAAACAAAAACTACGAATTTGTGAAACATAGAGTTTTCGGATGTCATGAGGTAGGAGGATAACGGAAAACAACCAATTTGTCTTTGCCCAAATAAATATTCTTGGCAATCGAAGAATACAGAGCAATAATATTGGGCTTATCTTTTATGGGTATCCTTGCACAAGCATATAAATCGCAAATGATTACATTTTACACAACCTGTGTCTGTAACATAGGCTACAGTGCATTCCTACTCTATTTTGGATTATGGAAATAAAATCCTAATGTAAACAGATATATGAATAAAGTGGAATCACCTGGCTTTCTTCGCAGCGAACCCGCTGTGCTGATGTCGTGAGGCTATAGCAAAGGTTGTAGGCTCTTCTTATCTTCAATTATGCATGACAGAAACTGCAGTTTTGATCTTCATCTGTAATTAAATCGAGTTCATTCACTCCAGAGTTTTCAACTGTCTTAGCAATAAACAGTACTGAATATGTCCAACTGCTTCAAAAACGAGCATTTAGTTCGGATTGTGAACTTTTTTTTTCAATGAATGGACTCAATCGAAGTAAAAACAGCGATATCCTATTCTAATGCAAAATGCTCATAATTCTTTATTTTGCTTTTATTTCATTTTGATGAAATATTTTGCTTTTCGAATCGTTACAACGTCCATTCAGCGCGTCTTCAATAATAAATATGCAATGCTATCGAGGTCCTACAGGCAAATGATCCGTAAGGTGGACATTCATAAGTTCCAACTCCTCCCCGGTTATTCAAAAATCCTTGTTTGCAATAATAGCCGAATCTATGCTCGATAAAGTGATCTTCTCCCTTGTGTCATTTCCAAAGTGCAAAGCAAGTTAGCTCAAATATAGAAAGAATAAAAAACGTTCCTCCGAACATCAGAAATTTTTAAAATGGTTGAAAAGGAGATCCTGTTCCTTCCATCCTAGAATATATATCTTTTCACTAAAGATTTGGTTTGGTATCTCTATATCGATTCTAAGATTCGGTACCTCCTTGGTCTGTTACCCTACAAGTAAAGCTAACAATAGTCGTCGACTGTGGGCTATTGTGGAGTGCTTTAGTTTTGAAGTCAGCTCCCTCTATTAGCATCCAAATAATCATAGTAGTTAATAATTAGGACAAATAAATGGATTCATTCTGTATAGCAGTTCTTTAGACTCGGATGTAAGCAGCCTCAGAAATATGTAGATGATGTCAGATTGTCCTTTGGCCTGATCGATGTGGCTTTGCTTTAATTGACTGGAGCTAGCTATTCAGGTTTTCAATTATTTAATACATTCTTAATTCGGTAATAAAGCTTTGTATCTTATTTTTTTACTAATAGAGGCTTTGAGTTGGTATTGTTAGTTTGATGCGCAGTGTTTTTGCGATATTTCTACTTTAGAAATTGAGCGTTTCAGATTCCAGCCAAACGTCCAAGCTTTGTAATGAAAAGTAAAAAAGTTGTTTGTGTAAGTACAGAGTTCAGAGGCTCGTGGTTTTTTAGATAATTAAAGGCCCGAGTGTTCTAAATTTTAGTTGTTATTTCAATACTGAATATTCTACGATTACATACTATAAATTGTTTTAGGGTTCTAAATAACATTTTATTGATATGAGAGTATAACATGGGTTGCCAGCCATTAGTAGAAGGTGAACATCAAGACAATATTCGCTGTTTGTGGGTAGCGCACACATATACAATTGTTATGTTATTTCCTTTTAGACAGGCCTGAGTTGAAAATTCATACTAGAGAACCCCAATTCTTCTTTCCAAGGAAGTAAATAGCCAGACAATTTTACGCTCCTGCCCCGGTATTTACGTTCCTGCTCCTCTCAATTCTCGTCTACCTTATTCATCTTTCAACTCCTTTGTCCGTTCTCAACCTTGAATGCAACGGCTTATAAAAATTCATCTAGCAATTATTGTAGAAAGCATGCATCTTTGTTTTGTGCCTTTAGCAATATTGCAAGTGCGTGTGTTTTTTTTATATCCAGATAAAATATTACAATGCAAACTACATTTTACTATACCGGCTAATTACTCTACGATACTACAGGTACGATACCATGGGGAGCAAAAGAAAACGACAACCCTATGGCCATTATATGCAACTAGACAAAGAAATACGAACGCTACACGTACACATAATAAATGTTAACAAAAAAAGAAAAATATTTATATATATATATAGGAAATTACAGGTACAAGATGATACGTTTTAAAAACTGAAAATAACAAATAAGTGGGTGGGGCACAAGATTTAGAGATATTTAATGAAAATTATTATATTATCATTCAAAGCTTGTTCTTGAAAAAGTGCGTGTGTGTTCTATGCAGGAAGCTGTTTGCAAAATTACGTTTCCTATGCTTTTCGCTTACTGCACTTTGTCTTTGCTGAAGAGATAAATAATCTTGATCATTCTCAGCTCAGAATCAATCATTTATGAGATCTTACGGGCGCTCTTTGTATGTCATTTTTTAAGCTTCTTACACCTTTCTTTTTCATAGTGCAGGTACTTTTGATAGGTCTCTACATACCCTTGTGCTTGCTGATCCGCGGATACAGCTAAGAAACACACATAGAGATCATCTCCAATATCATCAATGCATGGAAGTCAACCCCATAGCTAATCAACCAGGTACCTCCTATTTTAAGTTAATGCAACCGTTTCAAGTGCTTGTTTATTTCATTCACAAATCTGAATGAGCTGCTTTCGGAAGGTCTCTCAATTTTGTAAGTACCGAGGTTTGTATGATCTGGACACAGTACTGCGATAATTAACTTTTAATTTTTGCCCTAGATCACATTCACGGTTATAAAGCGACGGGCTAGATTTCTTGCATATCTGATATCTGAATCTGATCTTGTATTTTTGTGTGTTGAAATAAGCCCTCGAAAGTCTTCTGTCTTGGATAGACCAAATGATCCAACTCATTTCTTTTGGATTTTTAAAGAATACTGTCTCTTGTTTAGACAGAGAAAGTAAGGAATTATTTGCCATATGGATTACAATCATAATTTTTCAACAAAATTCCACCACATAATCAGTAATTCAAACCATTTTTCGTACAAGTATGAATTTTCATAGCCCCAGTCAACTTATGAAAGGGGCCCCCATATTTTTTGCGTGATGCCTTATTGGCCATATTTTCGTGCGTGAAATCGTGAAATCGTGAAATCTCGATTTTTATGCGTGATTTTGTGAATCAAGATTCCTACTTGAAGCGTGAAACATGAGTTTTCCTTGCGTTATGTCGTAAAAAGGCTTTGACTATCCGTATATTCGCGAATGAAATTTTGAATGATAATTCAAAAAATCTCCTCAATTTGGTGCGTAATAAACCAATAATGACTAAATCTCAAATTAGTATTCAAAGTTTGAAAGTAGTGTTGTAGTCATATCAAAAGTTGTTGTCCTTCAAGCGGGGCCCTGATGAGCAATAAAGACAGGATGGAAATGGCAGGGAGTACCACTTTGGGGTGGGGAAATTTTGATTACCAGTTTTGAGTTCTTTATCAACTGGGGATATTGAATTGTGATGGTAAACGGTGATTTGCCGCTGTTTTTTGGGTAAAATGGGGAAAGTTCCTGCTTACCCTCTACGAAGGAGAAACGTGGCTGGAATGACGTTTCTAACAAAAAAAATCTGGTCTAAGCAGTTGAATATGGCGGATAGTTTGTCCTTTTTGTTAGAAATACGTTTAAAGTAGTAAAATGAGCTTTAATTTGTCACATGACGTCTAATTACGTCCATGTCCTTATGTGGATATCTTACTAAAAATTGGCAAAGCCAAATCATCCTTTGACATCGGAAATTCATTTTAGATTTCACTGCACGTCTCTATGTAGATGACGCATTTGCTAGTGATGGAGAGCTCTGTGGACCATTACCTTGTGTATACCTAAAGCTGCAATAATGCAATACATAAGGAGATTATTGTCTATTCAGAGTAATTTGCATGCAATCTAGAGGACACCAAAACGGTTACATGAGCAACGTGGGTGCAGAAGGAAAAGGCTAGTACGTCATAGTTCCTGCCCTACTGTCTAAGCCCCCATTTTACTCATTCATTCATTCATTCATTCATTCATTCATTCATTCATTCATTCATTCATTCATTCATTCATTCATTCATTCATTCATCCAACCATTAATGATGGGTCCTCAATTTCAATGGATCTAAAATCGACACACCATTTTTAAGAACTGGATATCTTTCTTACAATAGAGGCTGTAAAATAGATAGCTAATAACTACCTGTAAGTCCTTGGAAGCTTTACAAATATCTGTTTATTGAGGGAATGCAGGGTTTGTTATTTCGAGATTTAGCCCCTAGTTTTGGAGTTGCTCGTCCTTTCGTCAAAGAAATTCTTGTATCACTCTTAATTCGCCATCTACAAAACGCTGCCGTTTGCATGGCGAGACTTAGATTGCCGAGGATTTTATGTAATACGACAATAAAAATCGGAAATATTACTTAATCAGGTGAAGTTTGATTCTTTGCTTAAGCAACCACTTTAAAGAAAATTTTAGGCTTCTTAAAAACGAATTTAATCTTTCTGTGTATAAAACGCCCTTTGAGATTTATATCCAGGGAAAGTTTCCTGTATTATTTTGTTTGAAAAGCAGCGGATGAAGTTGCGTTACTTTAAAAAGGTTTTTCTTTTTACCATAACAAACAAAAAGCTTTATATAAAGAGCTTTTTGAGTCCAATTGTAAAGAATCTAACTTTTTATGCTGGACAATTAGTTTTCATATAAGAAATTTTCGAGTTCAGCGATGTTTACAAAGTTATCCAATTAAGTTACTTCGTTTTTAAACCCTTTTTGTTTTGTTACTTTTTTTACTATGCTTTAAAACTTTTATAAGTGTTCAATGTTACTTTTAAAGCACATATTAACAGAATTTTCAAATAGAATTTAACTAATTTTAAATTGATCAAAAAGCAATAAATATCATACAGTATTCTCTCCAATTAGCGGACAACGTCGGGGCCAGAGCAAGGTGTCCGCTAATTGGAAGTGTCCGCCTTTTGGAGAGTTTTGCAATAAAAATCCCAAAATTGAAAATAGAACCTAGTTTTGTTTTCAAAAGGTAATCAGTGGTGGCGCCAGGGGAGGGCTAGGAGGCTACAGCCCCTCCGTCGCAAGCACCTAGCTCCCCTCCCCCACCCCCAATCGGAGGAAATTTTAGGTTATTGTCGGAGCAAATTTGACAAAATAACATACGAAAACTGCATATTTTAGTTATTTTAACCCTCTGTCGGAAACTCCAACCCCTCTGTCGGAAGATTTCTGGCGCCACCTCTGGGTGTAGTCTGGGTACTTAGTGGCTATCAGGTTGAACTTAGACACTAAAAAAATAAAAAAATAACCAAATTGAGCGCAACACAACACTTTCATGGACAAAAAAGTTAGTAAACTGGGCTGTAAAAAAGTTCAAAGCTGTAAAAAACCAACTAGATTGTCAAGTGTCAGTGTCTCATTTTTTTGTTCGCTGGCTCCCAAATTCTTTTGTACTGTTCGCTAATTGGAAAGAGAAAAAATGCCAAATTGACTATTTTGTGCAAACAATATTTTCCGTTGATTAGAGTGTCCTCTAATTAAATGTCCGCTTTTTAGAAAGTTTTTTATGAGACTTTGACCAGAAAAAGATCGGGGAAAAACAATTTGTCTGCTAATCAGAGGTGTCCGCTTTTTAGAGTGTCCATTAATTGGAGAGAATACTGAATCTTCCTACAAAACCATGTTGTGATACATACAAGATAGGTTTTTAGCCTATTTCACACGTGGACATTTGCGTCAAGGAACGTCTTTGTATCCAAAGTAAAATGACAAGTCATGGATAACTTTTTGTTTGGTTAGTAGCAAACAATTTAATTTTGACTGTTCGGTGGATTAGGGTTGTGCTTGCAGGCTTAATTGTTAAGTATGGATTTCAATGGCTTTCTTATAAGTTAAGTCTAGATTGTGATGTCTTTTTATCGAATAAAAGCCACTATATGCATAAATACTGGCAATAAACGAGAAACGAATGTCCAATATCTGGTGAGAATATCCTATTCGTTGTGTTATTGCCAATATGAAACATTATGTAAACAGGTTTGTTTTCATATTCAGTGCCACAAGGTTTTATTTAAAACGTAAATTTTATCGCATTTATTTATATACTATCTACTTTCTTATCAATTATGAAGATATGTATGGATCAACTTACGCATTGTTGCGTAGAACAGGACGGCTCTGCGTTGCAGTTTCACACTGATTGCGATCATCTGGTGGCTGTTAAAACGTGTACAGCTCTTTGAGCACTTAGTGAAAGACAGTCAAACAATAATTTTTGTCATCAAATAAATGTAAATCTTTGAAATATTTTTCATCAAAACAAATGGATTATCATATAGGTTCATCTATGAATACTGGGGCAATTTTTTTCTAAATTAGCTAGCATGTTATGAAGTTCCTTGATACGTATCATTGAAAAGTATATGATAATCTTAACTCTATCCTTGGTGATCCGTGTGATAAATAGATGGGCATGACTTGATTCTTTCTTCTTATCTTATTTATATCAATTTAAATTCAATTTTCAGCGCAATAGCAGGGTCGCAGTACCAGTCCTCTAGGCACCATTGTATATCATATTTATACTTGTTTTAACATTTTCTTTTAAACATAAATCTATATTTTCATTGCAAATTAGATTTTTTGCTTTTATATATCATTAACCATTATGAGTGCAAATCTGTTTTCATCGGCCAAAACGCAGCACTTTTTTGGAGTTTTGGCTTTCACTCTTATCACATCAATCACTTAAGTCATTTCTGTCATTTCTGACAATCCTCTGAGTTTGGCACAGCACCAGAAACACCTCCCTGTAGCACCAGTTATTTACTCTTGTAGCAACTTTGCCTTAAACACCAAAAACCCGTTTATTAGAGCACTTTTTTTATCAATAATGGAGCCAAGAAAATGAAGCTTATTTTATTTAAAGAGATGTTGTTCAGTAGATCATGTATGAAGGTGTGTGGAGATCTAACCAAATGATTTGTCGATGCTCCAGTCTCAGAGAGGGGGGACACCTCGGTATGTTTTTGCTCCCTCTTTTCCTAACCTTCAGAACCCTTAGTTTTTTTGTTTCTCGTTGCCTTATATATATAGCGAATATTATTAAACCAAGCCCCAAGTGTTGATTTTCATTTTGTATTTTATATTTTCAAGTTATCGTTGTATTATGTGATGCACATCTCAAAAATTACGTCGGTTACATAGAGACTGGCACAAAGAGGGGGTAGCAAGCCCAGGCTAGCTGGAGTTCACAACTCAAGATTTCGTCTAAGCAGTGTCTTTAATATATGCTGAGTGAATATTTTTAAGAGGGCTAAAGGTTGCCGCAGGAAGATAAGGTTCTAAGTACTACCTGCTAAGTAGGGAGGGGCAAATATTTTGATATCCAGTTCAACGAAGTACAACATAACACTACTCCTTTTCTAATACTCTTTTAACAACCAATTTTTAGGTAGGCAAGTCTGTGCACAGTTGGAAGTGCAAGAATGTAGTAGAAGGAACACGATGTTTTTCATAAAGTAGTGTACAGTTCTTTTCAATAAATTTGAAGGGGGAAGAGAAACTTTACCTTTGTGGAGTACTTTCAGAACTGTCTAAACTTTGCCAGTTATTTACTGTTATTATATAAACTATTTTTACTATTGATACCGCCAATTTATCGGCTTTTTAAAACTTTTCCAATACACGGCAGATGTCGGTACTTTGAACATCAAACACAAATGCTTATGGATGTCAATTTAATAAAGTTACAAAATTAACCTATTTCGCCGGTGAAAGCTTTTGCAGCCTTGTGAAACTTATATATAAACAATCAGATTGGGTAGTGTGAGCAATGTGAACAGATATCAAGATGTGTGATGTGAGTCTATTCACTTCGGTATGTTACTATTATATATTGACTTGCTTTATACGAAGTGCAAGCATAGCAGAGTAGCTACTAACTGTTTAATTTTGGGTATGTAGTGCCTGTACAAACTGGAAGGATATGAGACGAGAAGAGTTTTATTCATAGCTTGTTGGACATCTTTCTGGACAGAGCTGTCTAGTTTCCATACTGCTCGACCTGATGACGTAATTAGTTTACCAACCCTAACCCTTACCCTAACCTTAACTCTTTACTTGAAATAATTAATCATACTAATTTATGACTATTAATCATGCTTATTTATGACTATCAGGTCCAGCAGTATGGAAACTAGACAATTCCTTTCTGGACGTACGAGTCTAAGAATAACCGAACTCGCTTTCATGCTTGCAATCATTTTTTTCCAAACTAATGAACATTTCTGCGGCAGTTGATTTCGCAGACCATTTGTCTTTATCTAGCGGATATTGTTGTTTGAAGGAGTGATATTGATTTTGACTGCTGCAATTGACCTCGAAGCCAGTTTTGAGTCTTTGGCTACTAAGGTATCATGGTTCGTAATGAGGCTAAATAAATGAAATTTTCTATGCACCATTGTAATTGATCCCATTGTTAAAAGCTAAGGTGTACACACGTAAAGGTGATATACGGTTCACAGTATAAAGTTAAGTAGAAAGATTGATTGCCGTCTTTGGGCAAGAGCTTAACTCTATGGCGTTGATACATATTGCGTTGATACGTACTACGTTGAGGCTTGTGATGTGAAAAGATAAGGTGACTTAGGGTGATTATCATTTATTGTGATTTTACTTCATTTTTCGAATTCATCGACTTTAATTTCACGATACATAATAACCAAACAAGATGGCCATAAGTCGTTGTTACATCACTATATCAGTTTGTTTTGCTCCCAACCAAGTTATCATGTTGCATAAAAACTGTATCTGTACATAGCTTTTGTTTACATATAATTGATCATCTACTGCCTAATTCATATAAATGAGTCACCTTCCAATTACCATTTTCACTAGAATGGTCATTATTTAAGTTGCCTGATGATATAATAAATTGTTTTCAGTACTTTGTGCAAATAAATTAAAAGAGCCGTAGATTTGTCCGGAAGCTCTCAGAGAAAGGTTGGTTTTGCAAAGCCTGTCTTCTCTTCCATGTAATCCCGATTACTCCAAAAAAATACTCTTATCCTGGATTTGAAATACCAGAAAACATGAAATGGTTGCATTTTAAGATCAATTGCTTCTAAAATAGACGTTGCAAAGCTTCTGCGTTAGGATTAGCCGTTGCGGTGTCTCTATCTTTCATCACGCAATATGCTAAATAGAGTTTGCCTTGCCATAACACTCTTAAGCGGCGCTAACTGACGTATTTTTACGTGCTTTTCTCTCAGGTGATTTTCTTATGGTCTTGTGCTCTGCTTCCCTCTATCTTCCAACTTTTTGTCCAAAGTTTTTAAAATCTGATATAGTATCTGATAAAGGGTCCAAAGAGAATATTGATTTGACAATTTTTTTCAGAATTTTCCATCAATTTTGCGACAAAATAGGTGTTTAACATGTTGGGAGTTCGGACTAAATGTTCGTTTCCATAAAAAAGTTTAGAAAAATGACAAGGGTTCGGTTTCGAGACGGCTGACTTCGATTCACCATTGTTCGTAGTCTGTCTTCTGAAGTCATGTTCCGCATAAGCTTTGCCTTTTTCTCTCGGAAAAGTTAGATACAATGACAGCTAGATAATAGAGTACCTGTGATTGTTTAAATGTTTAAGCTTGTCTGGAGAGGGAATTATTCTTGCAACAAAGCTTTGACTGCATTTGTCCTTCCAGTGACCTTCTCCTGCATTCTCAATTGTTGTAAAAAGTATGTTGTTGACGTTACTTTATCACTGTCTAAACGACAGTTAGACTAATCGATCAATTTTTCTAATGCGAAACAGTCTATTCTACAGTAACCAAAGATCTCTTTAGAAAGAAAACAGCCAGAATGATGAAATTACATAGGCCACTTTTTCCGACAGTTCCTGCTCGTCTTTGTATTTACTGAATCAACCAAATGTTTTGTCAACATTGTCTTATCCACACATCTATTGCACATTCTTCTCTCTTTCTTTCAGGTAATACAAGATTAATCTTGGTTTATCAGTAATGAAACGTAGAAGTGGCGATGGAGGACAGCGACATAGCGAACTTTCTTCTGCTAGGTATAATTGTCATCTTTATAGTTCTAAGTATACTGGCACATTGCCTAGTTGTGAACCGAGCTCGCCGTAAAAAAGAGCGTCAAGTTGAAGGAGAAATTACAAGCCAAGAGATAGTATGACATATCGCAAATGTATTGGAGCTATCAAATTTGCCGTGAAGTTAAGGCAGTTTTCGTGTATTTCATGAAAATAAATTAACATGCATAGGTGGCAACTGAATTTGAATTTTCAGTGAACTGAGGTGGACTAAAGATGGCAAGTTGAACTGAGGCTGGCTAAAGATGGTAGACTGACAAAAATTCTTAATATCCTGGTATTTAGACTTAAAAACAACTAATGGAATCATTCTGTTCAGTGACTTTTTATATTATTTAATGCAAATGGTTTTCTTGTTAACTGGGTTGTCATTTAATTAAGTGTATCGAGTAATTATGGCTAAATGTTTTTGGATTGTTACTTGTAGACGACAGCTTAATAAAGTTTGCAATACCAGAAATAAAGAAGTCTGTAGGACTTTATATTTTCTCAGTGAGTTTCAAAAGTAATGCATAGCGTGTTCTGGTTTTGCAAAATGGAAAATTAACGACGTTTCTTATTATTACATTATTATATTTTTTATACCAATTTATAGACTCCAATTTCCTACTTTGTTCGTATATTAGATTAAGAAATACCTCTTACAGCATTCGTGAAGGCAGTCAGGATAAAAAATCTAAGGGAGCCCGAGTTGCAATTGACATATATTGATATAAATTTTGTTTTGTACAGTTGGAAATTCGATCGAGTGGACTGGCAGAACAATAACCATTGATTTGCCGGCCCTTTCCCCTGATCCTTTTTTAATGTACGATCATAAATATCATAATGACATTATCAGGACTCTAAGTAAAATCTTTCTCTCGTCCTTTTTTTCTTATTCGGGATTGTTAATTTCAAGGTTAGTCTTAGAAATTCTAGTTTCAGTATGGATTTAGAATGTGTTTCGTGACAGCTCAGGATTGCGATTGTTTCGTCAAGAAAACGTTACATTTTTTGTAAGTTTAACAACACTAATATTTTAGTAAAATTAATGTTTATTGTATAGTGTTGTGCACAAGAATTGGGATTATCAGTTTATGTAAAATGGGTTTGTTAGAACTAACTTTTGTATTAAAGCTTATTAAGATTATTTCGAATTTTATCAAATTACGTTCGAAAATCAGAGAGACTGAATTTCTTCATACAGCTCAAACTATTGAAAAGAAAAGAACGATAATTTGCTAAACTTAGCATTTTCTGTTGAAAGCTACGTTATTAGAGTTATATTAATGAATGTTTAAAGGAACTCCTCAGCCAAAATTTTCATTCGCATTTGCTTGGCTATTCCAAAGAACTGAACCTGCTGATCACGAGTTTGTTATTTGTTTTTCAGCTGTATGCTCTTGCATTTCGATATTTTTAATTACGGAGCAAGATGCTTTCGGTGTATATTTTAAATGTTGACTCTTGAAGAAAAATCTTTCAATCAGCTTTCTATTATTTGACATCTATAAAAGAACACCTCCAAACAAGAGACAAATAATTTTCCCTCATAGTTTTCTGACCAAGGTCAAAGCTAGGGCCATATCTTTGGGGCGCGTGGGGGTGTGACGTCCTCTTTTATGTATGAAAATTTAGCAAATTTTGGTGTTAAACAAAAGTTCAATGTGTTTTGTAAAATAAAACAACATGTATCTGCAATAATCTTGTCAGAGTGGAACTTGAAATTCATAAACGCTAATGCCTAGCAATTTTCGGAGTTTAAGAGGTAGGCCCTCCGCTCCAGTCCTCCATGGTGGCCTGTCAGTTTGATTTGTTGATTGCTACGCAGTACCCAAGAACAACGGATATAGATCTTGAGGTATAGATCGAAAAGGATATAAATCGTTTTTAATGGTTATCTACAGAGAGAATGTGTCTGTGATATTTTCCAGGGCTGCCGAAAACAAAAGGAAGTAAAAATATGACTGCGCACAGCTTTTGGACCGATCCGTCTTACATCAATTTTGAATGCCCAATACAAAGCTGTTAACAATAACGTATATATTAAAAAGCTTACTGTTACGTTCCAAAGATGCCTCTCTTCTGCACTATGAAAGCACTATTGTAAATTGCGAAAATATTTTGCTGAAGTAAATTGTATTGTGAATAGAAAACTCATTCGTATCTATTGGTTTTAATTTACACTAGAGCAACTTTACATTGCTTTGTTATTGATTTCTATATTCATGTGTATATTTACGAAGAGCTTAGCTTGCATATCCATAATAGCTGTTTATCAACATATTATCGAGAACACACAATATTTTTCACCTTTATTGACAGGCTATCAATAGGTCTTTTTAATTTGAAGCTCTTTTTCAACCGCCAGTTCGTTGTTCCATTATCAGACATAATTCTTTATCAGATTGTTTTTTAAGCAACAGAATCAATAAAAAATGTCTTTTCTTCTTCTATGCTTTCTACATTCGGTTTTCTTGACAAAACGATGTTACTATTAGATGGAAAGCGGAAACCTAGATATTTAATAGTATTGGTCGAGTTTAAGTGAAAACGGTACTTGGAAAACAAGAAGCCCAGGAACACTACATTACACACACGTTTTCATAAGAAACCGTTTAGATGACAAAATTAGTAAGGAATCATTGTATCGATCACTCTCAACCTTTGAAAAATACTCGTAAATCTTGTAAGATTCGATCGACAATTAGGCACTATTTACCTGTTCAATTAATATACAAACTAGAAAGGGGAACTCCTTGCGACTTATGTAATGTTCAATTTCATGTTAATTTATGTTATATTTTTGTGTTTCTAAACAGTAGTAGCACTTTCTATTTTTGAAGCCTTACTTTTTAAGTACCAACATCAACAAAAATATCATATACGTATCCCGAGTTTCTTTGCCAAAGTTGCCTGTATTTTTCTGATATCTCCAGTGCATTTCTCTTTCCATTTCCAAAAAATATACTCCAGCCCTTTGTAATTGATTCTTACCCAGTGAATATATTGTGACGTTTTCATTGAAAGATAGGTGAGGGGGTGCGGTGTTGGCTTTCTTAAGCAGAATCTTGGTTTTTTTCATATCATAGTTTCAAACACTTTTGATAGTGGTTGTAGTCTTTACGAAAAGCAGCTATACTATAATATACGCTTTATTAATCCAGCCCTGAGATCTTTTGAAATAAAGGTGCATTTATAAACATCTACAATTATTTCCGTTTTTTATTCGTGTATTTATGTATTTAGTTTAGGTTCTTTAGCAAATTTGTTCATTGTAAAGTTTAACTTATTGTAAGTTTTTGGTATGCCCCCCCCCTGCAAATCAGTTATTTTTACTGAGGGGTTACCGTTGGTAAAAAAGTTAAAATAGCTGAAAATAAATGTTAGAAATGAATGGAGGATATTCATAAGTGGACTAAACGATATAAATTATGAAACAAACTCTAACTAAAAGCATATGTAGATTGTTATTGGCAATAACGATAATATAGTTAGCAAATGAATTTAGTACCAGAATGAAAATATACTTGTTTGATTGTTGGAAACACGACGTTTCGAGCATGTACTCGTTATCAAGTGGCTAGAAAGAAACGAGCCGAGCAAAGAAAAGGCGATAGAAAAGAATGTGAGATGCGACGCAACCGAATAAAACAGAATAGGGGAATGGGAGGAAAGTAAGAAAAGAGTAGGAAATAGATGTAAAAAGAAATTATTGAAGAAAATTAAAATGTTTATTAAGACCATTAGGATAAAGTGTTTTTAGGCTAAAAATTAAACGTTTCTCTAAAGTCTTCTTTTGGCGGTGTCTTGCGGTGCATGCAATAAGCCAAGGATGGACATGTCGGCAGTAGAATGATTGGAGGAGTTAAAATGTTTAGATATGTTGCTATCTGCATCGCTTTGTTATTCTTCTGTCAGGTGTATTTTGTTAGCAACATCTCTCAAGTGTTCTCCAAAACGGCTGTTGATTCTTCGACAGGAGGTTTCGCCGATGTGAAGAGATTGGCATTTGGTGCAGATGATACAGTAAATCACACAGGAAGAAGAACAGGTGAAGTGAGATCCGATGTGGAAGGATTGGTTATGGTTGATGATAGTGGTCGATTGGTTAATGTGTGTGCAAGTACGACAAAGGTGATGTTGACAGGGAAAAGTACCAAGCTGTTGTGATGTTTGGTGTAAGTTTGTTCCGACCAGGTGGTCCTTTAAATTCTTGTCCCTGCGGGAAGCCAGTAGTGGTGGTGCATTGAAGATGTTCTTTGTTTCAGTGTCATTGATAAGATATGGAAATTGTTGTAAATAATGTTCTTTACGGTGTTGTTTAGAGGGTGGTAGATCAATGTGAAAGGAGCGCGGTTGTTGTTGTTTTCTTTGTTGGGTTGTAGAAGGGCATCATCTTGAGAAAGTTGTTTTACTTTATTGAATGCTGCTTGGGTAATATGGTCAGGATAATTATTGTTTTTGAAAAAAGAAGACATTTCCTTTGCTTTTAAAACTAAATTTTCATCATTTGAACAAACAGGGCGGAGACGATGGAGTTGAGGGAAGGGTATGGAGTCTTTGCATTTCTTAAGATGCGATGAATCGTAGTTAGGGAGGCAATGAGCATCTGTAGGTTTGTAGTAGATGCATGTGGAGATTTCGTTGCCAGAGATCGTAAGGAGGATGTCAGAAAGAACAAGCTTTCTTCTGTAATAAAGTGCGTGAACTACAAGGCTGGGTAAAAATTATTGATGTAGTTAATAAATTATTGAAGATCAGCCAAAAAAAGAAATGTTGCTCCGACGATGTCATCGATGTATTTTTTGATAAGACAAGGAAAAGGGCCATTATAGGATTCGTAGATAGCTGTTCTTGGTGGCCAACGAAAAGGCAGGCATAGTTTGGGCCAAGTTTTCTACCCATTGCAACACCAGATATCTCAAGATAATATTGACTGTTGAATGAAAAGGCATCAGTTGTAAGGACTAGTTCAGCGAGGCGAAGAAGAGTAGTAGTTGGCGGGCATTGAAAACGTCTTCTGTCGAGAAAAAACGTTAGTGCTTGTAAACCATCATTGTGTGGAATGCTTGTGTACAGTGATTTGACATCCATAGTGAAGAGATATTTGTTTGGTCCTTTGAATTTTAATTCCTTAAAGATGCGAAGAGCATGGGATGTCAAACGTTGGAAGATCTTGGACGATCGGTGTGAATATTGAATCCAGATAGGCTGTTATTTGAGATGTTGGGCAGGAGACAGCTGACACAACAGGGCGACCAGGATTACCAGGTTTATGAATCTTAGGCAGCATATAGAAGACAGGAGTCCTGGAATTTTGAAAATAAATTTTTGAAGCGTTGGTTTGGAGATTTCCGTTGTAGATTTCATCTTTGACAGTATTGATAATGGTTTTGTTGAAGGATTTAGATGGGTTCTTGTTCAGTGCTTGGTAAGACGTGATTTGCAGTTGAGAGAAGCCCTCCTATAGATCCAAATCTTTACGCCAAACAACTATTCGCCCACCTTTATCTGCCGGTTTGGTGACGATGTTGTCCCGCGCTTTTAATTGCTTTAAAGCATACCATTCTTGCATAGAAAGGTTGAAAAGTTTTTGCCTAGACTTGAAATTAAGTTTGGTTATTTCATACCTGCATGTTTCAATGTAAAGGTCCAAAGCTGCAAATCTTCCTGCTTTAGGGGTTTGGAAGGGAAAGGCTTGGCTATTTTCTTTGCCTGGAGATCATTAGGGGATTCTTCTTAACCAGTATCTTGGATGTCTTGATCATCATTAATGTTGTTAAAATGGGCTTTCAGACGAAAACGGCGGAAAAAGGATTCAGTATCATGGTTGGACTGGAATTCATCATCTGTTTGAACTGGAACAAATTTCAGTCCTGTACTTAAGAGTTTTCTTTCTCCCTGGGATAAAGGTAACTCTTGTGGGATGGTTTATATAATATTTTGCGAAACGTTAGAGTTTCGTCTTTTATTATTAACATGTTGAGCAGAAGAAAGTTCTTTGAATTTATCTTCTTTGGTTATTAAAACTTGGACTAACCCATAGCTACTATCTTTTTAATGTTAAAGAGTAACTCTCAATTTGCTACTCTCGAGGGTTTCTCCTTTAAATGCAACAGAGACATTCTTTTATGGAACGAGCCCGGTGGAACAAAATGTTTTATTAGTGTTTCTAACTAATCATAAACTTATTGGAAATAAGAAATAAGATCAACATTTATCGCTATATAATGTATGTCTTAGACGTCATTTTCTTCAAGGTACTTCTTCATTCAGTTTTTCAGTGAAATTTCTATCGTTGTTTGAATCTGCATCTCTTTTACTAGTGATTAGTTGTTTCAAACTTTCGCTTCAATGTTCCCTGCCATGCCATTAGTCTTATCATAAGTAACTCGTCGGAGGTATTTTACTGAGGTAATCAGCCGTAAAGAACAAATTGAAGGTTTTTAATAGAGGGAAGACGCAGAGATCCATAGCAATCATCCACAGTATAATGCTTAGAGTTGACTAATGTGATAGATTTTCTAGGTGGGTACACTTAATTGTTAAAGAGCCTTTGAGAGTCAGAACGACTCGAAATTATAGGTAACTCAAGAACAACTCTAGGCTGGAGGCAAGGTCTCAACAATATTGTTGTTAAACAAAGAGAAGATACTTAGTAAAGCTGATAATTCGAAACTGCAGTGCAGTGCTTAAGATTTTATATAGAAAGATATGAGATGAAGTAGTGGTATTGCTTCAATGTCTTGTTGGACTGAACAGTGATAACCAATGATGATAATTTATCTGTAAGAGCCCGAATATGAACAAATTCACTTAAATTTCAGGAGAGAGAAAGAAGATCGAGCAAAATCTTCTGGTTCTGATTAAAAGTGTTTAGTGATTGAAAATTCAAAAAAACATGAGCTCAATAGAATCTCGTTGCAGTAATCAGTTAAGCATCATAGATATCTCTCTGCACTGACCTTAGGATATTCCTGAATTCAGAAATGCAATAATCACAGTGCCCACTACCGATACATTAAGCAGTTTTCAAAGATGCCGTTCGACAACATAAACAGCAATGCACTACAAGAATAAGGAAAAAAAGCTTCGGGATAGTTTTCAAAGATTCAAAATAGCTGCTGTAGTGAGAGCCAAACACATGTTACTTCAACTTTTCTTCCAACCACTGATGCATTATTAAACATGAGATAGAAATAATTGCAGGCACAACTGTCAATGCCGCAAGAAAGAAAGAGAGGCTTATGTTATATTTCTTGCATAACTGTGTCTATCGATTTCCTTGCAGCTGGTGCACCGTTAAGCGGATATCGAACACCAAAATCCACATTCCATGATTGTGTCATTACACGTGAAACATGCCTAACTCAAAATTGCCAACGTCAGCATATTTTTGCCGCCAAATTTACGCTTACTTTAACTTTCTTAGTGGTGACGATGACCTTATAAAAAAGATTCAGATCTCGACCTTCGCACAATAAAACTTTATATATTCGCATATCTTATGCCCAAAGATTTGAAACTCCCTTCAAATAATCTGAAAATCATCCTCAAATGTACATTAATTGCAAATCCAGTCAAAAACTGGTTTTGTGATGGTAAAAGTACTTTTTCATCACCTAGCTAACAGATTTATGATACAATGTCTATTTTTGCTTTATACTGGTTTGTTTTAATGTCTGTACTATTGAAATAATGAAATTTGAAAGGACTATTATCGTCATTATGATTGTTACTTTTGTGTAAAGTGCCTTGCAAGCTGGTCTCAAGAATTGAAAATCAAAGAATCAAAATCCAACAAAAGACTATTCTTTCTATTCTCAACTGCTAAAACGTTCTTTTTACTGATAATCAATTTGTTGAAATACATTCCTTTTGCTGTTATTAGAAACCTGCCAGAGGCATCTTAAGAGCTTCACCCTATCTCGATATTACATAAATTGCGTAAATTTTCTATAATTTCGGGAATTTTCAATTTGTTTTCTTCTCATGCGATGTGTTTTTCAACATATTTGTTTTAAATATTTGAAATGTTTTGTAAGAAATATACTCTAACTTAAGAGAGTGTGCTGGCCAACGGGTGAATTCATTGGCTGGTAATCGTTAATCCTATGTTATTCTGTTTATTCCGAGAAAATATTGAAATTTGAAGTTAAAAGACGTTCGTCATGAATATATAAGAATGTTCCAAATTGATTGAGGTTTAATAAACTGCATTGTTTTGGTTACATGGTGCCCATGCGGAATCATTTGTCAAAATATTGTTATTTACAGTGTGCTTTCATTCTGCACTTGTTCTGAAACAAGTAAATTATGAATGTTCAGAAAATATAATTTTCTCATGGTCTGATTGCCATTAAATAGATAAACTAATGGTCTTATACTAAAAATTGTATCACAGCGGTAGTTTGACAGGTAAGAATAAAAACCCTCGTAATTAATTACGAGCAATTTATCGTGGTGGAAATTTATGCGAGTGGAAATAATCACAAATGACGAAGAGGTATTCCAAAATGTGCTTTGGTTGACCTCGATCATAAAATTATTTCATTTTCCCCCACCCCGTCCGTCGTCCGTCTTCTCAGTTCACTCAGCTGAAAATGAGCACCTAGTTGAAACATACTAGGGAGGTAAAGGCGGCGTGGAAAGGAACTGGCCACCCTACCACACAATGCCGTGGCCCAGGACGATGTGCGCCTAATAGTGCATTCCCCAACGTTCGATATCATATACAGGACCAAAAAAGTCGCTTTAGTATCTGTCGATTACCTTTATTGGTAGTGAATTAACGTGAAATTCTATTTATGCAGATTTAATTGCATGGTGTGTTTTTCAATAGAAGAATAGAGCAAAAATAAAAGCTTCATCATTAGCAGGGTTAGAGAAGCTAAAAAAGTTAAAATTTTGTGTGTATTGTTAAGAAAATTGCCTGAATTAAAAACCTTCATTTTTTGCATTCCCAAAACTTGCTTGTAAAACTTGAATACATCAAAAACTACTGGGGACAATTTGCAACATGCGGTAAATGATTTTTGGTTAGTTTAAGCGAACTCAAAAAAAGTTTCATTCTATAAGCGCGAATTTTGTTTCAACCTCTTTTATTGGATAGTTGGTACCTAGTAGCGAAACAGCTCATGGTGTAAGTCTAGGTAGTTGATGTCTATGATTGAGGCCCAAGGCAAAAATCACAGGGGAAATAGTGGCTTGTCAGTTTTGCGCAAGGGTACACCTTCTTGAATTTCAAGTGGTTTTTTGGCTAATTGTAAACTTATATCAATTAGCAGGCTGAAAACCTTGAAAAATCGCTTGAACAATTTAAATTTTGCTAAAGGTAAATAAGCAAAACATAGCTATGATTTATACCACTTACCCAAATCTCTCCATATGAAATGAAAAAGCAAATATCATCAATCCAAATTCTGTTCCCATGAAGCAGATGTATCTAAAAAAAATTTTTGGGCTTTATATCTTTCTGGCATCAAAATTATTGCAGCAGTAACACAAGAGTATTGGATGAAATGTTGCCAAGATATAACACAAGCTTCTTTAAAACTTTTTTGAGGGCTTAGGATGAAGGTGAATTTGGCAAACATTGTCATCACAAAACAATGTCACCAGTCGAAAACCCTAGATTATTTTTTAACCTAAAGCTTTCGTTAAATCAACTATTCATAAAAGATGCAATGCTGCGAATGGCTATCTCTTAAAGGACAAAAAACCTCTTCTGCATTATCGGAAAAATCCTACGAGCATTTTTCGAGTTTTATGATATTCAACCATATCATCCTATGCCCGTTTTGCAAGGCATCCAAGCTCTAAATTTACAATAACGCTTCATTCGTAAAAAGATTATGGAGGAATCATCGACATCACTTTGACCTTTTTCAACATTGGATTCTCGTTGTCGCATTGCTTTGTTCCTATATATCTTTCATATCAACACTCATTGCAAGATTCACAGAATCCGGCGGACAGCCTATCCTGCGGTTCTTCCTTCTCGCACATATAATCCTATGCCCGTTTTTCAATACACCCAAGCTCTGAATTTACAATAATGCTTCATTCGTAAAAAGATTATGGGGGAATCATCGACATAACCTTGACCTTTTTAAACTTTCAAGGTGGGTGGAAGATCGTTTATAAAAAGGCCCGAGACATAATTCCTGTAAAATTCCGATGTCACTATTTTCAACATCAGATTGAGTGTCAATAACATTGCAGAACTGCTTTCAACTATGCAGATCTGACTTATAACATTTGCACCTTAGGCCAAGTAAGTAGCCTTTTCTACCTATTTCCAGCAATATTTGGTTGTGGACTTTTTCTAAGCCTTTTTAACTCTATTAAGACCATAGCTGTAATCATATTATTTTAGCGAGCTGCTATACAGAGCAGCAGTTACCTTGGAATTGCAACGTATACAGATCCCGCCCAAAAGTGACAACTTCTGGTTCGTATGGTTATAAGAAGAACAATGTTACTATTTTCTAGCATTATGTCAAATATTTACATTGCAGAATTGGCTAAGTTAACGGAAAGGCTATAAGCCTAGAGATCACATCAAAAAACTCTCCCCCATAGCCTGTGTTCCGGACCCCTAACTTGAAAGTAGAGGCTTGAAGAAAATTGAAATGAAAAGAGAAAAACAAACGCTAGGGACACTTTATGATCAGACAAGTAGCTCTACTCTACTTTCAAGTTAGGGGTCTGGAACACAGGCTACTTCCCAGTGCTCCAATAAGATACTCCTTTAGTCATCATGTTGCCTGTAAACAGTTTTTCATACCTCTTCTTAACTAGCCTGGAGGGAAAAAAACCGTTCATGCAGGGAAAAAACTGTGCTTAAAGCCATTGACCTTCTTAACTTTCTACAGATACCCCTCTTTTCCATGAGACGATGTTTTTGCTCTTTTTAGTTTGAAGTAGAAGTATTGAAATACTGAGATATACTGTTATAATAGTTGTTAAAAAAACACTTAGTTGCGATATTATAGAGCAGATTTTTTTCAGCAGAAGCTAGATATTAACTTCGCTACTATTGTATGCATGTAAGTAGGTCCAAATTAACTATTAACTGTCAACTTTGACCTGTATATAAAGTAAAGGTCTGTCTGTACGTGGATTCTAAAATTCTTATATTATCATTATAATTTTATTATGATTTAACTTAAATTTAAAAAGATGGTACATGAGAAATAAGAACAAGATAAGGACAGAGAACATCAAGTTAGCTTTCATTCCTTGGTACAGTTGGAAATGGAATTGTGATTGGAAATCAATCTCTCTAATAACACATGCTTGTAGAACTTTTGGGATTTCTTGGTATTCGCAATAATTCAAGCCTGGTTGGAAAAGTTTTGCGTTGATGTCAAAGTAATATTTATATGCTCTTATTCTTTCCATAGAGCCCACGTGCAATAAGAGACATTAATTTTATGACAAAATTTATGATGTCCTATCAAATGAGAAAGGAAAATATCTTCTTTCTCGTGACTGGAATCAAGCACAACCTTGCTATAGGTGAATTCAAAAACGTTAAGATGTTCATATGACACCAGCGGCTACAGAAAATGTTTTTAGGTGTAAACAAAAGAAGGTTTCCATGTTTCAACTTAAGCAAAAGAGATGTAAACAAAGAAGGTTTCCATGTTTCAACTTTTGAGTATTAGTCAAATCTGGCGAAGGATGTGACTTCCATGAACATATGGACATTAAGAAAAACTGGATAATAATCAATACAGTAAAGAGTGCATGAAAAATCAGATGGGATTGGAAAAATTAATATCCTTTTTGAGCTCAGTATTTAAAACTGTTTCAAAACACAAACACTTTTAAAGAAAAAAACTCCCAAAAATATTACGCTCTCTAATTGAATGATACTGGATACTTTTTTATGGAAGAAAACAGGATGTCGTTTAAATTTGGGTGATCCATAGCCTCAACTCTATTGGCCCAATTATAGTGGCTCCCAAATGGGCCCAGAGAATGTCCATGAAACAGATAAGCCAGCAGGATTTTGTTTTCTCCACCGTTGGTCCTGTCTTTCTTTGCTGCTAATTAGAGCTGCCAACCTAATTCTTAAATTGCTACACCAATTTGTCTCCCAGATCATTATCTTCAATCACGTGACACTGTGTCTAATAGTGAGTCTTAAGACTTAGGGATTTAACGACAATCTCAAACAGTGTTGTGATAGCTATCTCTAGCATTAAGGCTGATTAATAAAGACTTATAAAAAGAAAACCAATATTTCTATTTTATTACTGTGGTTAATTACTTGCGAGATACGATCTGTGTCGTGTTATTGAGCTATGCTCTTTGTTTTGTAAGCCTGTGCAGTGGTTTTTGCCAAGGCTACTAAACCAAAGCCAATTTTATTGGGTAGTCCAAATGAACTTGAGTTGTAGGAATTGCATAATTGGCTGTTTAAATAACAAGGGTTCTTCTTATTAACTCTGATAAGATTTATTGGGAATTCCTTTTAACTAATATAGGATTATTTACAAATAAATATTTTTGTCCCAGGATGGACAATCGCTCTATAAGCACCGTTATTTCCTGCTCATTTCTGAACGTTTCAAGAGATTAGGAAGCTGCTAATCTTAAAGCTTTGCAAGGATTAAGAAATCAAATTAATGTGCTTAGCTCTATCACATACTTTCGTATTTTATATTGTATTAAATATTCTAAGACCAAACACATATCGACAACATGTGAACGGCGTTGTGAGGAACCAGTCATAATAATTATTTAAACCTTCAATACTGTAAGACAAACATGTAAAAGTAACCGTGTAACTGCTTAGCTTTCTGAAAATGAAATACTGACTCTCGTCTCCATTTCGATTATTCTAGCAAGCTCGTGCAGAGTATCTTCAATGAGATGTAATCCAAACACAAATGGTTCGTACATTTAAAGTATTTTTACTTATAAGCGAAACTGGGTCACTATTCAGTCTGCATATAAGGACATGAAGAACCCTGCTTCGCCGTCTAAATCCAATTGGATTAATTCCATTTTCATAAGCTACAAGAACAATGAAAATTATAAAGACAACGAGTTACTTGTCTGATCATAAAGTGTCCCTAGCGTTTGTTTTTCTCTTTTCATTTCAATTTTCTTCAAGCCTGAGTACAAAGAAAGTTATCCAACTATCCTTTACAGTTTCATTTCGAAGAAGACAATGCCCATATTACGTCAGCTTTGCTAAGGAATTTATCTCCTGCAAAATATCAAGAAGACCTGGCAGCATTTCATTCCTAATCCTACTAGATGACTGTACAACTAGAGGAGCAATGTAGATCAGAAAATGATTCATTACTCAACTAATAGCGTTAAGAATAGAGGATAATATAAAGAACCTTGTTTTGTTCTTATTAAATGTTTGGGAATCTTCAGTATCTTGCTGGGCTATCCTATCCTATAATATGATGCAATGCATGGCCTTACCTCTCCGATCAATAACAGCAAACTGCTCAAAATGTTAAAGATAACAAGTTTCGATTACTATCTCTGAGCCAGAAAAAAATACAAAGATACATCAATTGAATATTGGAATGCCCGCTGAAGGTATGATCAATAAACGAAAAAATTTCAATGAAATTGCCTAAAAATTTTCTGCTAACTTTAGAGACATCTTTGGTTATTAAAAATGGCTGTTACAACTTGTTTAAGTAAGTAGGCGCATTTGCTACTATCTAACCCTGTCTGTGAAATAATCACTCACTTTTTTGATGCATTATGGAAAACAGCATACCACTCATTGCTAGAAAATTTTCTGGGAAGTTAAAAAATCGAAGATTCAAACCCCTATTTTTCGAAATAGAAATCTAGATTGAGAACTTCTAAAGAATGCTGTCAAGAGTTTGAATGCTTATAAAAAAATATGAAAGAGCAAGGAGCACTTTCAGATATATGAACAAACTCTCGAGTAAGTAGCAATCACTTTTGGATTTATATCAGGTTGCTTTACTCTTCTCTATGCTTGAAATATTATCTTGACGTAATGAAATTCAAAATGTTTAGATATCACAAGCTTTAATGTTGATGACACTAATTCTGATTCTTTTAATGTTTCTTGCTGATTTTATGGGTAACTTCTACAACCAAATCAAAGCTACCTAAAATACTGACCCTTACATTGTGCCCTGCAGACCTATAGATTACGCAAGCGAGTGTGTGAAACAGTGCTTTAGATATGACCTTTGCATATAAGTATTATCAGCCAGTGGTCATCAAATATGTATCTTTTGATATCAAATCAACTATAATTCTACTGTATTGAAAGAATGCTTAATTCTGTAGCTATTAAAAATGATAATGCTGTTTTTGTTAATAGTCTTACTTGATAGTGCAGACCTATGGAGTTTGCTGTTAATTCCACATTGTATTCTGTTTAATGATTCTGATGCTGATACAAAGAATTAAAACAAATGTCCAAGG